TTTGTGCCCTGCTGCTTCAAGCTGACCTTTGCCATGTTCTTTTTCTTCTGCTGACAAGGCACACCTAGCCCGACTCTAGGGGAGCGTGTTAAGCTGGGCCAGATTTTCTTCCCAAGAATGCCTACCATTCTCCAAATTACATGTAGTAGCCCTTTCATGAAAGGTTCCTGAAGCCTTCCGAAAGCTCATGAAATGATAGTGCTTGCCTATATTCAAACTGCACACACTTCTCTAAATCCATTTGTTTAGCATTGCCCTAACTTTGACTGGCATTAACTGAGGACTACATATAGTGTGAAACAGAAGCTGAAAGATTAGGGCTTTTTAAAACTAAAACTAAAATCAAAACTTTGAATGACTGAAAGGTTGCAAATGGATCCCTGCATCCACTGAGGCCAGGGAAATGCGAAGATCAAACATCCAACAGCATTAAGAGCTCACATCTCCAAACAAAAATTATTGGGCCATATGGCAGAGGCTTTTACCACATGGCACTACTGGCTAGCAAACAACATGCTTTGCGATGAATGGGAGGAGATAAATCACAGAGATCAATTTAGATCTTTCAACATTGCTGTGGGAACAGCTGGCAACATGCAGCTATCAGTTACACTTTAATCTCTAATAGTCCTTGTCTTCATCATTCACATGTTCACAGTTTGCAATATAGAAAAAGAAGAAAAAGGCATCCTTACTATAGTACTTTAGCAACCTCATGCTAGGCCCAAAGTACACAGTTCATGAAAAATGTATTCTGAGGGAGATGAGCAGTTAAGAAGTAGGAAATATAAATGAAAATATTATATCATTCTAATAAATATAATTATCAAGAACATGGTATCCAATGAAAATATTCCTGAGGAGAAACCCATTTGAAATACAGATATTACCTACTTTAGCTTTCTAGGTTTCTGTCAGGTTCCACAACTTCATTCTTTGCTTTACTCTACTAGATAACTAGAAGTCGAATTGGGAACTAATTAGCAGTCTTATTGCCCTTTCTAAAGATTGGGTATACAATACTTTCTATCTCATAAGTAGGTATAACGCATATTTTAACTATTTCCAAGAAAGGTCTGGTCAATATAGGAATCCAACTGCAATCATTCATCTTATGTACCATACCTCAAGAGGTATCATATCCTCTCCAGGGGTTTTTCTAAGGAATAAGGGATAAAGCTTAGAAACATTTAGATTTGGTAACAGCTGGCCAGGAAATGAGGTAAATTGCAAACAATGAAAACCCAAAACATCTATAAATAATTAGCTGCACAAGTTTTTTTAAAAATTGCTCTAGTTCAGTGACGGCAAACCTTTTTGTTGTGGCGTGCCGAAAGTGTGTGGGCCTGCGACAGCGCAGACGTGTGCTGGCACCCACAATGCAATATACCCTGCCCCACTCTGTGCAACACCCCTGCCCACACCCTTACCTGCACTGCGCATGTGCACGCCTCCCAGCTGATTTTCGGGTCATTTGAGGCCGTTTTTGCCTCCCTGGAGGCTCAAGGGAAGCCTCTGCAGCTTTGGGAGGCCGAAAAATGGGCCTTCCAGAAATACCGGAAGTGCCCGTTTTCAGCCTCCAGTGGGCCTCTGGAGCCCCTTTGAAGCATTTTCACCCTCCCAGAGGCTCGAGGGAAGCCTCTGCAGCCTTGGGAGGCCGAAAAACGGGCTCATTTCAGCACTTCCGGTATTTCCACAAGGCTCGTTTTTCAGCCTCCCAAGGCTACAGAGGTTTCCCTCGAGCCTCCGGGAGGGTGAAAAAGGCCTCAAACGGGGCAAAAATCAGCTTGGAGGTGCGTGCATGCGCAATACAGGTAAGTTTGGCTGGGGCTCGCATGCCCGCACAAATGGCTCTGCGTGCCACCTGTGGCACACATGCCATAGGTTTGCCATCACAGCTCTAGTTCATATAAACCAGCATAGACTACTAAAACTCAATATCGCTTTTTAAGGAGCTGATGTCCTGTATCAAATAGGTTCCAACTAGCTTAAAACCTTCTGGTGGAGGTCTGGTTTGCTAACAGCTATAGCGTTCTGCTGCTGAGAAATGCACTTCAGTTCCAAGCTTATTTTCTGTGTTTTCTAGAAAATAAATGATTGTTGTGTCACAACAGAGAAAAAAAAATTCCTGCATTGAAAGTCCAAGTGAATCTGGCTTCTCCCATTGACTTTATCAGAAGGTCACAAAAGGGAATCTCATGTCTTTGGGGCACTGAACCGTCATAAATATGAGTCAGTGGCCAAGCGTCTGAATTTTGATCTCGTGACCATGGGGATGCTGCAATGGTCATAAGTGTAAAAAATTGTCATAAGTCACTTCTTTCTGCGCTGTTCTAACTTCAAATGGTCACTAAACAAATTGTCGTAAGTCAAGGTCAACCGGTATGTAATGAGTACTCTGGTGAGGCATGTCAGGCTTACGTTAGGAGACAAAAATATTCAGAAATTAGATTGTGCAATTGTTTTCATAAATACATGTTCTAATTCAGCTGTAATAGGAATACATCCTCCTTCCCAAAAAGGAAAATCAAAATCTATTAGAAGCTATTAATCTTGCTTTGCAATTGCAAGCAATTGTCCTTGGCAAATGTTTTTTTACATGGGTTCGTGTTTTGAATTTTGCGTATTGTAATAAATGCTTATCAAAGATGTCTTCTTTGTGGCTAGCAAGAAAGTCCCCAACATTAATCCAATCTGCTAAACTGACAATGTTCCCAAGTGATCATTCTTTTGAATGTTTGTTTAATGAAAAGTTGTTGAGATAGTATCAAGAACATCCAAAACCAATCCCATGTGCCTCTACTTTAAACATGAAATAAGGAGACATGAACCATTTTAGATTAGCGGCGACCAACAGATAAGAAAAAGGAAGGGAAAAAAATACTAAGGTCAAACACAAACATATTTATTACAGCACCACCAAGTGACTGCATTTTAAAACATCATGTGCTGATGTTGGAAACAAGTTGGAAAAGATAGGATTGAAGCATGTTCAGCTGAATAGATTTTTTTTTAAAAGACAGGATTTCACTCAGCTGGGTTATCGAAGCATCAATGAAGTATATTCATTTTAAAATGAATCGGATGTATTTATTTATTTCATTTATGTATTTATCATTTATTTCGGAAAAACAAGAAGTGATGAAACAGGGCTAGTTTTTGGCCTACAAAGCTTGCAGAAGCCTGAAGAAGTCTTCCTCAAGCTTTTGGGAGGCCAAAAAAAGGCCTCAAACCAGCTGAAAATCAGCTGTGAGGCGCAGTGCAGTGCAGGGTGATGGTGGGGGGATTGCACGCGCATGCGTAGGGGGCATGGGGGCATGCGCATTGCCTTCTGGGTGCTGGCATGTGAGCACGAGCATGCAGACGTGCACACAATTTTTGGCACAGGAGCCCAAAAAGGTTAGCTACCACTGCCCTAGCCCAAGTCTGAATTTTTAAAAAAATAAAAGTTGTCTTCTCGATTTGCAACATTTTATTTTGCAAATAAACATTTTCATTTGATTTTATTTTTAACAGTCAAGATTAAGATGGTGACATTGATATTCTGGCATTCTATCATTTTCTTTGAGGCTTTTGTCAACCAGAACAAAATGATGCTAATCTGAGTAGTTAAAAGCATCATCTGAGGACATAAGAAGAACATGCAAATAGGGAGGGAGGCTGAAAAATTAATAAGAGATATTTAATTTCCTTTCACAAATCTGTGTATTGCCTGCTTGGGGACAAAGGTGAGATGATTTCAAGGCACATTTTTTGACCAGGAAAAAATGGACATTTGGATTTATAATTTGGAATGCCAGGTTATTAATTTACTATAATATTTATGTTAGTTACATTTTATAAAGCATTCCTTCCACTTAGACCCCTGTTATATTTTCCATCTTGATGAGAGTTCTGTTCTTTATCCAGATGCTGACATATCTGGCAAGCATCTGTTCACAGGCTGGACTTTTCATTATCCCATTGTCATAGGTAAGTATAGTTCCCAAGCAGTCAAATGGAAAGAAAGAACAGAGGGCCAGCATGGTACAACCCCTGCTTTTTCCCTTTAAAAAGGGAGGTGTGTTAAAAGGTTTGAGGGTTACCAAAGCTGCTTATTAGAAGCTTTTAGTAAATGAAACTGCAGATTTATTTCCCTTTCAGGCAGGGGTGTCAAACTTGAATCATCACAGCATTGTCACATGACGTATCATGACTTTTTTCCCCTTCGCTAAACCGGACATGAGCATGGCCAGCACGTGACACATCTGACAGCCCTGCTTTAAGAATTTCAAGAGGCAAATAAAGCATCTGTTCAGTAATACAAGGGTTAAAGGAAAAGTAATACCTCTAATGTTATAAGTTGCCACAGATGGCAGCAGACATGTTATTCAGCAGGTTCTGACCAGTTCTGGAGAACCAGTAGCAGAAATTTTGAGTAGTTCGGAGAACAGGCAAATACCACCTCTGACTAGCCCCTTTTCTTCAGGAGGTCCAGGAAACTTACATGGGAATTTAAATTCATTTATCTCCAAAATTAAAAATCAATGAAGTAGGCTAGGCTGAGAGTATTCGACCTCAAGTCATCCAATAAATTTCTACAAGTTGAAGACAAACCTAAAGCATGGCCTTTCCAGGTCCAATCCAATAAGATAATTACTGCACTGCACTGGTTGCAAACCATAATTCAACCAGTGATTTACATTACTAATGTACACCTTACATTAAGCCAAATATAAACAGACTATATCATGGCCTTAGTGCAGCCTTTCTCATCTCAACATTTTACCTTGAAGGTAAACCTTTGAAATAATGTTCTGGTCTTGGGAAAATGACAAAACAACAGCGACAACAATAAAAACCCCATTCACAATTTCCATTCATTTCTAATCTACACAACTGACATTTTATTTTTACAGCAGCAAAGCAGCAGGCTGGAAACGAAGTAAAAATTCCATCATTAAGTGCTATTATTGTGTGGTGCTAACATTTAAAAAATGATGCTTATTTTTTTTTTCCAGTCAAGATATCTTATGGAATCCTTACCACCCTTGTGCTGCCATGGAGCCCCAGGTAAGAAAGACTACTTTGGGGCAATAGGTTAACTCCTTTGTAGCTCAATATGTTAGATTAACCAGTTGGGTTAATAAGTAAACCCTGATGGTGTTAACTGTGGGTGAACGTATCGTATAAACACAAGATTGGGTAAATGAAATTGAAGGGCCCATTCTGTTAGCAGCATGAGGTTGGTTTGGAACCTGTAATGCAGACTGAGGTTCTTGGCTTCTTCGTGGCTTTAGAGAACACTCTTGATAATAATAATAAGCCTAAGATCAATTTCTTGACCTATAAGAGATATCATTTTTTTTAAAAAAAATCTTGTCCTCTTGAGAAAGTAGAGAAAGAAATATTTCACAAACTGATGAGATATTTTGATATAAATCCTAGAAAATCAGTTTATTAATTCAGTGAGATTTTTTTTAAAGCTACCCTGTAGGTGGAGCTCCTTGCTTAGCTATTTTATGGCCTCATTCCTCATTATTTGGGAAAAGCCCTGACTAATGGGGCTCGGAAAAGATTTGTAGTAAATACTGGCTGAGAATCAAACTTATTAACTTGGCCACATAATGAAAAATGTTAATCTGAACGCTAATCTTGGTGAATGGTTTAATAAATCCTAGATGATTTCTTTCCCTGATGTTTATTATGATTAAACTTTAGATGGAAGGAAGAATATATATATATATATATACACAATATGAATTGTAACTCAGCTTTAGTGAAAATGTATTATCATTTGAATAATAGTAAAATGCTGATTGTGGTGGGCAGATGGAAGGAGAAACTGTGCATTGCAGTGAGGCTATCTCACATGTTAACCAAGCTTGCACACTGCAGTAAAATATATTAGCTTAAAAATGGTTTATTGAGTAAACTACAGCCACCTAGAGATATGCAATTGTGATGATAGGAATTTTTCATTTTGATGACCTTGTTTTGGGATGGAATCAGAGTGATTGAAAGAAGCTGAGCATTTACTGGCCAGATGCCCTTCCTCACACCTACGCAGAGTTCACAGCAATTATTTTCTCTTTCTGCCCTGATAGAGAAACATCTGCCGCTGCCTGGGGTTGAACTCTCAACTTTCTGAGTGAGAGGCGAGAGTCTTCACTTCTAGGCCACTATGCTACTCTGTAATTATATTAAAATAATGGAAAGAAATACATACACATGCACACCAAACAACCCAAATTATAATTTCTATCACATGTATATGAAGAGAGTTCTTGTTTAGAATTGTGGATGGGTTTTGCTTTCATTTTTGCTTTCCTTTATTCTTTTTTAACATATGAAAAACAAACATAGCTTTCCACAGCCACATGAACAAAGGGATGATGGACATCTTCTACATGTACTTTCTGCTCATTTTGGATGCTAATATAAACAAGAAGTTTAGACAGAAGTACCACTTCATGTAAACACCTAGGTATTAGTGAGATTTATCAGATTCGGAAAAACACCAGCATTACTGCTGTTGAATCAATTCTACATTTCAAGATCTCCTCACTCGTGGTATTTAATGGGCGGGGGGAGTAGTGAAAAGGTACAAGCAGTATGGCTTGTGCTTTCAGTATTGTGAAAGTGTTTAATATATGTAGAGCAAGTGTTAATGTGTAAAATAGCAGAGGATAGACTGGCTTCTGAATAACCTTTCAGAATGGAGCCAGAACACAACACTGCCATATGCACATCCTGCCACTAGTAGGGGCAGGGAAGAGAGAGAGGGAGAGGGAGAGGGAGGATGAGAGAGGGAGGGGGAGGGAGACAGAGACAGAGAAAGAGACAGGGAGAGAGGGGGGGAGAGGAAGGGGAGGGATGGAGACAGAGACAGAGAAAGAGACAGGGAGAGAGAGGGAGAGGGAGGGGAGGGATGGAGACAGAGACGCACAGAGAGAGAAAGAGAGGGGGGAGAGAGAGAGGGAGAGGGAGAGGGAGAGGGAGGGGAGGGACGGAGATAGAGACACACAGAAAGAGACAGAGAGGGAGAGAGAGAGGGAGAGGGAGGATGAAAGAGGGAAGGGGAGGGAGACAGAGAAAGAGAGAGGGGGGGAGAGGGAGAGGGAGGGGAGGGACGGAGACAGAGTCACACAGAGAGAAAGAGGGGGAGGGGGGAGAGAGAGGGAGAGGGAGAGAGAGGGAGAGAGGGAGGGAGACAGAGACAGAGAGAAAGAGACAGAGAGGGAGGGAGAGGGAGGGGAGGGATGGAGACAGAGACTCACAGAGAGAAAGAGACAGAGAGGGAGAGCGAGGGAGAGAGAAGGGGAGAGGGGGATGAAAGAGGGAGGGGGAGGGAGACAGAGACACAGAAAGAGACAGAGGGAGAGAGAGAGGGAGAGGGAAAGAGAGAGGGGGGAGAGGGAGAGGGGGAGGGGGAGGGAGAGAGACAGAGACAGAGGGAGAGAGAGGGAGGGAGACAGAGAGACACAGAGAAAGAGAGAGAGAGGGAGAGAGGGGGG